GCAAGCTCGAGACTGCCTAAATTTCCGGGTTACTGTTTCAGTTGTATTTTAAAGCCATTTGGCATCATTGTGTTTTGAGATTCTTGCAAACAATGCATATGATTACTTATGTTTACAATGCTAACAATACTGTTTACGATACCAAAAGTGTTAACACTAACGTAAGATGGTGCACAGCTTGCAACACGAACAAACAGTAATGAACAAATGGAAAGAGGCCAAATCAAGACTGCCAAAAAAGCGAGTTATTCAAAATCTAGCAACCATGTCACCTTTTTTAATAATAAATAACAAAATAACTAAAACAAATTTTCACTCCAAACTCCCCAGCATTGCATAATAACATTAATATCTTATGAAATACGGCAGATTTGAGCTCAGAAGTTATCTAGTTTATTTCTTTTATTGAAAACAAAATTATCCGTTTGAAAACATCGCCTATCAGAATAACAAGTAGTAAGCAGCTGCAAACTTTTTAACCGGAACTAGAGTAGGTCCCGAGCTCGAGATTGTTATTGTTTACATTTCTATTGAAAACACTATCCATTGGAACGATCGGTGCAGTGCCTGGTGTAACCAGTTTTAATATTGGAACGGTCGGTGCGGCAAACCAGTGTAACCGGTGCGAATATTGGAACGTGCCCTAAGATATCAATAATCAAATAGCAAGACCGGATTTACGTATAAGCTGTTGCTTGGGGCCCCCAGATCCCACTTTTCTTTTTAAAAAAGTTTTATTCGGAGCTGGGGCCCTCTCAAGCCCAAAATGCATTCCCCCCCCCTTCTTTTTTACATTGTCGGACGTTTTTCAAAATCTAATCGAAGTGTTTGCAATTATAAAATAATTGTTGCTCTTCACTTTTCTAACCAAAAGAGCAATAAAATGTTCTTCTGACTGATAAAATATCATCGCTTTTGCAACTACCACCCACAGAGTTGTCAAATAGGCACCTCATTTTACACTGGCGGAAAATCTTTTAGCTTCTTTAAATTGCTTTGGGAATTTTTGTCTTACTTCTGACATCCACAGAAATACCCTTTTTTCTGGTCATACATTTCTAGGGCTGCAAATAGGGGGAGGGTCACTCTGTCTTGATATTTCTGTTGTGTCAAATTGTCGCTAAAGTGGTCCTCGTTCAATCCTAATTTTTCTTTTTTACAAAATTTAGATATCTTTTCTAATTTATTATGAAAGCTTTTTTTCTTGATTTAATTATCCAAAAGGTTTCAAATAGCCTAATTGTTTAATTTACTTAATTATTGCAATTGGTTTTTTGTTATTTTTCAAATTACTCGTACGTGAATCTATGAAGGCTGAATTTCTATATCAAAATTTTTGCAGGATATTAAGAAGACATAATTTTTTCACCTTTGAACGGAAGCAAATGTTTTTATTACATCAACTTTGTTTGTGGTTGAGGAAAAAAAAATGGAAGGTTTGCGCAGTTTTTTATTTATACATTTCTTTAACCTAATAAATTTCAAAGTTGAAATTATTAATTATCTAATAGTTTATAATATTTGCCCTCCATTTACATCGATATTTTTTTAACTTAAATTAGAAACTTTGTCAAATTAAATAAATAAGTTTCATAAATAATTTTTTAAGAGCTAAAAACTGGGTTAAACCTTCTTATTTAAGGGTAATTTGTCCTACTTTGTTTTGAAGGATGAGTATTTTAAGAACCAACAAAGCAATTAGTAAGTGTCTAAAAAATTCGATAATTTTGTTTAAAGAAACATCAAATCTAATAGAATAGTTGCTTACTGAGGAAAAGTAAGAAATCTGAAGCATTGTTAAAATGAATATTTATAAGTAATTTAAACTATATGGAAATAAATATATGGTATTTATTTAATTAGTTTTTTTAAAAATATTTTTTGTTTTATTTAAATGGTGGCCACTATTCAATTCCCTCTTCGACAGGCATATCTGCCAAAATTCTTCATTTGGTCAATTCTAGATGAAATTGAGATAACAGATGTGATTTTGTTTCAATTTTACTGATAGATTGTAATTTTGCTTGATAGAACATCGAAATCAAGAGATCATCAGCTAAACAAATGTTTAAATATAAAGAAAAAAAAATGTTCAAACCTCCTGCATGACCCAATTTTCCAAATTTACATTTAATTTGTAATATTATATTTCGTACACAAAATTCATTTATTTAGTTAGCTTATGATTTTAAAATTGTACAAATGATATATTTAGTGCTTTCATGTATGCAAATTCAAAAAACAATTAGGGGAGAGTCGGGTAGCCCCGCCCACCTAAGGAGTTTTGCTTATATTTCTGTATAATATTGAGTAATAATCAATATTTTTGTATGTTTCTATTGTTTTATCATCTAGTTAAATAATGCAAAAAGAATAAACCAAAAAAAGAATAGTTTAACTTAAAAAAATAGAAATTTAAAAAAACATGTTTTTTAGCTCCTTTTAAGATGTGTCGGGTAGCCCCGCCCAGTTACAAAAATTGGGTTTTTTGGCTATTTTTTCAGGTGTAAATGAGAATGACCAATGTATCGACAATAGATAAACCTCATTTATCATTTTTATCACAAAATTATTTTATTTATTACATATTTATATACTTTTAGTGAATTCTATCATTTAATAACAACAAATGTCATACTTTTTATCATTATTAATGTATATTAATATATTATAATATTAATATATATTTATATTAAATATTTAACGAAAATAATTTAATTTAAGTAACAATAATTAATAACAATAGTTGTTTTTCTATATAAACTTATTTGGTTGATCTCTTCTTATAAACTTAATATAAAATACTTTTTATAAAATTACAAATTCACTTTGTATTTTAATTGCATTCAAATGCTTCTGTAGATTGATTCGTTCACAAATAAGTAAGCAAATAGCTTATCATAATATTTATGATTTCTTGATATTAAATTTAATTTGGATATATCAATTACATTTTAAAAATATTTAATTTTTCATTTTTAAATATATAAATTTATGTTTCATATAATATTAAAACATATATTTGTTGTTAAAAATGCATATAACATTCAAATTTGAAGCAATAAAATAATAATCTTTGCAACCGTACATTTATCGACGAAATAAAATTGGGCGGTGATACCCGACATTCATGTGAGCGGGGCTACCCGAAATCCAATTTTTTTGTAAATTTGTAATTACTCGAACAATTTTTTACATACAAACTTCTTTCTTTGTGCAAATTAAACTTAAGACTACATACTTTAATGCTGTATGTATAGAAAAAATTATTTTTTTAGTATTAAAATGAAGTTTAATCGAAACATTCAACCAATTTTTCTTAATTTCATGACTTCTGTATTCAACATATTTTCAAAACTATTGCTTACCATGTTACCAGCTGCATAAATACTTGAAACTTTGAAAATAATCTTTTTTTAATATAACAATTAATGTCCGATGGCCCATTGACTTGAAAAAATATTCTATACACATGAAATTGACTGTGGGCGGGGGTACCCGCTGGGCGGTGCTACCCGACTCTCCCATAACTAATATTTTTGAGTACGAATTTAAATAACTCCATGTGTTTTGTTTTGCTATAGTATTTTATATTATTTCATTATTTAGAGCAGATAGTCGCGTGTGGTTGTGAGGATGCTGAAGTAAAAGAGGCATCCCAAATTTTTACTCTTTGTTCAAAATGTTCTAACGATTATCTTAAAATGTGTTTCTGTTGTAACTTTTTCTCCTTCAAAAAAGGCGTGCAATAAAAGAAAGGTTCTACATTCTATTCTTATCATAATCACATTTGACAATCATTATCAAATGATATCTTCAAAATACAATCATATATTATCAAATTTTTGATAATTTAATGTTAATATTGAAATTGAACAATAAAAAATAATGACAGTTTACTTTAGGTGTATAGAAATAGAATTGAACTCTTAAGGGCCCCAACATTTTCAGTAGCCTTGGGCCCTGTCAAATAGTAAAAAAAAATTTACACAACAAGAGTCATTGAACAGTTAAATGTTTTCGGATTTCAGAATAAAAATTATCGCCAATTGCTTTAATCTTTTATTTATTTATTTGCAATCTAGTATCAAACTTATGATAGAAAAATTATATTTTAATTTTTGCTTGCTAATTCTGTAATATTTTATTTTATCATTTAAAAACGGCTTGCATTTTGATAAATTTTATTGGTAAGTGCTCTATCACAACTAAATGTGCCCTTTACTGTGAGGAAAAACCCTGTCCTATTTTATTCCTATGGAAAACTATGGTATTAGTACCATATTCATAAAGCACTGGAGCTGCACAATAAGCTATCGTCAAAAGCCAAGGAAGCAGATGTTGAGAATGAACTGTAGACAGAGTCCTCTGTAGAGAGGATGGCTCCATTGCTTAGGTAGGCAGAAGACCTGATCATGAAGGGGAGCACTTAACGGTAGAACAGCTTAAAGGAGACTGTGCACCCTCTGTCTCGTTGCAGCCTGAATAAAGTGGTCACACACACACTCAACTGCTGCCTATGGGACTGGTGTATATTAGAGAATTTCTGCACTGTAAAAAAAAAAAATTAACCAATCCTAACTCAATACATTAATCATGATTTTGAAGCTTGATTAGATAGCAAATTTAATAGGAAACCTTGCCGGGTATGATAACTGAATTTTTCTTTAACTCTAAACTAGGTAATTAAAATAAAACTGCTTTTAATTTTTCAGCTACATAAGATAACAGGATCACTAAGGAAAAAAATATTTTGCCCTTACCACACATATCAAATTATTTCTTGCTCAATAACCTTAATCCAAGGCCCATGCACTTTCTTCCCACCAACTGCAAAAAATACATAGACATTGTAACCTATTAAATGAACTAGGTAGTGAGATGAACTTGCAAGTACCTTCCTAGATTGTTGGACAAATGTTTATGAATAGCTTACACCTGCACATGTTTCTGAACCTATCGGGAGTACCTACTTAAGAATAACAAAAAACAGAAACAGATGAGAAAAATTAAAGTTTTTATTATTGGCAAAATTTTTACATTTGAATTCGAACTAAAACTCAGAGAGTTAAATATCACAATACAGTAACCAACTTCATGTTATTAAAATTGCAATCACAATATAAACAGAATTTAAAAAAAATATATATAGAAGCAGAATTATAAGTTTTAAGCAAAGTCATAAATATAAGTATCAAACACATAGTTTCAGTCTTTAATGTCAGCTCATACAATTTTCAAGAGAAAAAAATTCAATTCTGCCCAGTAGATGGCAACTCCATATTAGAGATTCATTTATAAAACAAGTCATTTGAGGAATGAAGCAAGCTGTACATCAGGCAAAGGCTAGATTCTAATCTGAAATCACATTTTAAAAACCTTTTTATATGAAAACTAATTATTAAAATGCAAATCTTCCATCCAGTGCCACTAAACTCAAGCACTGGTTTCATCTACTTCTGGTTTAATATCTTCATCTTCTTCCTCCTGAAAAAAAAAATTCAATTCAACAAAAACTATTCAAACATTTTAACAACAGTTTGTTTCACTCAATTTATGAGAGAGTCTTTACTTACACACTTTTCATAGAATTTGTCATAAAAACCAAATTAAAAACTCCCTTTGAATTGTATAGTGGTAGAAAACCATCAGTCACTCATTTGAAAGCATTTATTTGGCTGTTTAGCATTTGTGGGTCAACCAAAACAGTTGCGAAATAAACTTCAAATGAGAGCTAAAGAAAGAATTATGTTAGGTTATGCAATGTATACGATTGGTTATAGAATTTGGCTTTAAAATGAAAGGAAACTAGTTTAAATAAATGTTCGTTCTGACGAAAGTGTAATTGGGGTGGAAGCCGTACTGGGCATCAAATCCATTCAACGTAATTTTGATAGTTTTAAACCAGAACGCCCTTAATTGGACGAAAGTCCTTCAGATGAAGATACAGGTAATTCAAGCGTATAACCAGATTTAATACAGTGTAAAAACATTTCGTGGATTAGAAAAGCTGTACTAAGTCCAGATAATAGTAGAATAGATTTTTATTCTAATATTGAGGGAGTAAATATATGAGATTAAGATCCTATAACTGCAATAGTAACATAATAAAGTATGATAGGGATTTATTTGATTTCAGTGGGAAAAAATGCTTTTTCTGGTAAAGTTTCAAATCTTCAGGTATATCATAACATAAAACATGAAGCAAATCATATTGAAATAAAAATTCTTAAAAATTCAGGAACTTCAGCTATAGAAGCAAAAAAATGGCTATATGTTAAAAGAGTTATTTAATTTTTTCTTTAAACAATTTTAATATTTAATATGAGCATTGAAAATTTTGAAAGGTTTGTCACTCAAATCTGGAAAAAAAATTCCGTTTTCCCTGTACATATTAAACACAATCAGTGGTGCAAGTGGCAAAACATGGTTTAGGAGCATCTTTGGAACAACAAAATAGCATTTTTGAAGCATATTTAATAAAAAGAATAAAAATAAGAATTTAATAACAAGAATTTTTAATTTTGTTCATTTATAACATATCTTATTTTTTACACTTTTTTGAAGGTCCCTGCATTAACAAATTAAGTTTCGTTTTACTATTTTCGATGCTGTTAAATATTCTGCTATCCTCGACTTAGCCTCAGATAAGAGGATCTGTCCACTTTCTATAATCGACACGTCTTTATTATTTAACCCATCTTTCATACTATTTTCAGCTGTGGCAAAGAGATCACGAGAAGCCTTAAATTTTTTTTACGAATCAATTTCAGCAGCTTTCAATCTGCTTTCCTCAGTTTCAGTGTCTTCCCATTCTTTTCGCTTTCTTCTTTTTCAACCTCTAATCAAGCAGAATAATTTTTAAATGCTGCGAGCGCCACTTTAATCATATCATTGTCAACTTTAAAGTTATTTAAACCCTCTATTTACTTGCCCTATTGTGAAGTAGCGTTTTGTTCACACTAAAACCTCTTTCAACATCAACATGTGGTATGCATAAAAGAGCTTTAAAAAGCTTTGTTACAAGAAGATATTTGATATTTCTCAAATTATCTTTCTTTACAAAATAGTTTTTCCAAAACACATCAATTGGTGCAGATTCATTTGAGTCAGAAGAATAACCTTCTAGTTTCCCCACGTAACCTCATCCATTCATCTAGTAACAAAGATGCCTCTTCAGGCATTATAATGGGTGGAGTTACTGTTGCCAGATATCTTATTGGCTTATTAGAAGTGTCTTCCATTCTCATTACAGAATGCAACACTTTAAGATGGTACAGTAACCTATTTTCAAGAGGTAATGCTTTTAATAACTTTTTTGCACATGCTAAGTAAAAAACCTGGAATCTAAATACATAGATTTTTTTTTCTCTCAGGGATGAGAGTAGTCAGAACGTAAAAAACAGGAAATCCAAGAATATATATACACACACATATATATATATATACAGGGGAACCCCGATTTTACGTTGTCCGTTTCGTACGTTATCCCGCTTCTTACGTCATTTTCTGCTGATCCGTGAAAATTGCCTATACCGATAATGTTAAAAAATCCCGGATTTTGCGTTACCCTTTTTATGAAAATCCTGCTTGATGCGTTTTTCTACAAACAGATAAAAATTTTTTTTTTATTCTATTCAAAATGGTTTTACTCATTTTTTCGTGCTAGCATACCAAATGAGATTTTCAGTCGGTTTTGTTTGAGTCTGAAAGCTATAGCATTTTTTTCTCATTTTCGAAACTTCAGTCATCATGTTCTTTTCTCAAAAGAAGATGTCGAAACGAAAATGCTTTTCTCTGGCCGAAAAGGCTGAAATCGTCGAAAAAGCTAAAGAATTTCATGGCACTAAAGTTGATCTTGCTAATTCTTTGGATATTGCTTATTCAACTTTGCAAATGATTTTAAAGCAAGAAGCTTCAGTAGATCTAAACGCTGAAAAACTCGGAAAATATGCCAAGAGAAAAACCCTTAAAACATCTTCGTATAATGAGTTAGAAAAAATTTTAATGAACTGGTTCAGAGCAGCAAAGATTCCTATAAATTGATCCATCCTGAGAGAAAAGGAGCTTGAAATTGCTGAAAAGGCTTAAACTCCATGGCTTCAGTGCATCAAATGGCTGGACCGATTGATTAAAAAAAAGGAACAATTTATGCTTCAAATCTATCTGTTGCGAATCCGATAGTGTGGATACTGTGCAACAGTGGAAAGAAGAAACTCTGCCAAATTTATTAAGGGGCTATAATCCAAGTGACATATTTAATGCGGACGAAACGGGATTGTTTTTCAACCTATTGACGAACAAGACATTGACAATTAAAGGTGAAAATTCTCATGGAGGAAAGCTTTCAAAAATGCGCTTTACTGTTTTGCTCTGTGCAAATGCCGATGGAAGCCAAAATTTAACGCCTCTTGTGATCGGTAGAGCAGAGAAACCACTGTGTTTCAAAAATATCAAAAGTTTTCCTACCGATTATGCTTGGATGACGCAAGCATTATTTAAAAATTTTCTTCGAAAACTGGATAAGAAAATGAGTTTTCAAAAGCGCAACATAATTTTATTCCTAGACCAATGCACTGCTCATTTAATCCTTAAATTGAAAAACGCGCGAATAGAGTTTTTTCCAGCTAACTGTACGAGCAAACTTCAACCACTGGATTTAGGAATTTTACGATCATTTAAAGAGAGTTACCGGAAGCAACTGGTTAGAAAATCTCTGTTTCTTGATTCTGGTGACTTTCAGGATGCTTCTAAGGCAAAAATTCATGTTCTCGAGGTTCTTAATTTGATACCTTCAGCTTGGGACAGTGTCGACCGAAAGTGCATTATCAATGGAATCAATAAAGCAGGATTTTCAATATCGGAGGAGGAGGGCGCTGTTATTTTGGAGGAAGAAGAGGAAGGTAATGTGTCTTAAGTTGAGGATCTTCCGGAAGTCGATGATGCATACATCGACTGTGACACAGATATCGACACAGATATCATTACTTCAGAAATCCCTTCCATAAGTGATTTAATGCCTGATTCTGACGATAGTGCTGATGACGATGAAATAACAGAACACGTGCCAACAGCTATATATATATATATATATATATATATATATATATATATATATATGTGTCTATATATATATATATATATATATATATATATATATATATATATATATATATATATATATATATATATATATATATATATATATATATATATATATATATATATATATATATATATATATATATATATATATATATATATATATATATATATATATATATATATATATATATATATATATATATATATATATATATATATATATATATATATATATATATATATATATATATATATATATATATATATATATATATATATATATATATATATATATATATATATATATATATATATATATATATATATATATATATATATATATATATATATATATATATATATATATATATATATATATATATATATATATATATATATATATATATATATATATATNGCAACTTTTAAATCAGGTAAATACGAAAATCGATGATTGATATTAAAATCGCGTGAATAAAAATCGAGATATTTGCAGAGTCTGGACTTGGGATTTCTAAAAGGCTTGTTTGAATTGTTTTTTGTTTACACAATAAATAAAAATTTACAAGATTAATTGAATGAGCAAATAAATATTTTCACCGCAAATCCACCTCTATTTTTTTTCGCTTTTTTTGTTTGCTTTCACTCCAGAATACAAGAAGCAGCGACGTCTAAATGACGAAAATACGAGCTATCCCGGCGACGGATAAAAAATACGGAAAATCTTATTTTCTGCACGTGAAATCGGAGAAAATAGCTAATATAAGTAAACATGCGGAAAGGTTAGCAGCTAGGACGTAGTTTGAACTTTCTGTTTTTCTTTGAAAATCGTAAATAAATATAATTATTTGACTTCAACGACTGAATTTTTTTAAAAAAAACGGGATATTTATAAATAAATAAAAAAAAATTAAAAAAAAACGAAACTTTTAGAGAATTTGAGTTTTTGATAAAAGAGCTGAAATTAGAGAGACAAAAGCGAAAGAAATCTCATTCCTGTATAAAGGTCAACCAGTTTTATCCCAAGGAAATGATTTTTAGAGAAACTTCAGAGGGAGGAATGAGAACTTCAATAATTTCGCTCCGCGAAAAATTAAATTCCTCATAAAATATTTCAACTTGTGCAAAAACAAATTTCAGCGGAAATTAGCGGGAAAAATGGAAAAATCTTAGAAAAAGCGGGAATCCGTGGAAGAATCTCATCCCTGCTTTCTGAAGAAGATGGTCATCGCCTTTGTGGTATCTAGTCCAACATCTATTAAATTTGAATTTTGCCACATATCTGCGTTTTCTACATCCAATAATTTTAAGTCCTTCCCCGACAAACTAAACCAAGAAAAGCAGAACTCTTTTAAAAAACGCCCTAACTAGAGACACCATTTCATCATACAGCAAGTAAGTCAACGGTGTCTCAGTTTGGAAAAGACCGAAAAATTTAGAGCTTTTAGCAATAGCAATTTAAATAAATGCAATATTGAGTGGCTCATACTATTTTTTAAATTAACAATTACTTTATTTAATTCTGTAAAAGGTAATTCAAAACTCTAATTATTTTAACTATTATATAAGGTTATCGAGTGTATTTTCTTAAAATTTAAATAAACATGATTTGTAATAGTATATTAATCAAAACATTAACAGGATTAATATTGATCATATCAAATTTATAAAATTATTTAAAGAATTAAGCAAATTAAGAAAACTTTAATAAATTTATATTATAAATGTAAATTAGAAAATGGTCTGTAATAAATTTTTATTAAAATTGGTTACCAAGCACAGTATTTTATTACTGAAATGATAATTGAACAATTTTTAAATGCAAATACAATGAGTATTGAAAGTAAATTTTTTTTTGTCAGAAGTAAATTATTATACTGTCTCTACCCTCATAATATTTAGCAAATCTGTGATGATTAAAATTTTGTATACCAATTGCTTTAAATCAAATCATTAAGAGATGAATTAAAGTATTTTTGAATGACAAATCTGCAGGGGTGATTGCGAGCCCAAGTCAAAATTCCGGAAAACTTCTTGAGTTAAAAAAAAAAAAGAAAAAAAGTTTAAATCGAAAAATTAGAAAAAAATTTAAACAGGGTTTTTTCCTTTTTCTCAATATTTCTTAGTTTACTTAAAATATATTTAAAATACTACACATACCTATGATGACTTGGAGAAGTAATTGAAATTTATAAACATGTCTTTCTTTCTTGAGTTTATGAATATAATAACTATTTACTGATAAAAAATGAATATTAATCTTGAATATAAGCTTATAAAGTAGCTCTCCTTACAAACAAATAAAATAAACTGCGTTTTTAAGTTCCACCTTTGAAAATTAGATTTCCGAAAACTTTTGTGATCAATGATTTTTTGAAACATCTGAACCATCGATCTCCGGAAACTTCCGGATCACAGTTAGCAAAATATATGGAAATCCGGATTTTTCCGGAGCACAATCAGCCCTGAATCTGAAAAACATAAAATTTTTTGCTGCATTTAAAATATTGAAAGTCCCTCTCTTCATACTTACTTAAAATCTTGCCTCTAAATATTATTCAGTTTTCTCCTAAAACGAATAAGAGCACTGAAATTTTTGAAAGTAATACAATAATAAAACGCAATAAGTAAAAAAAAAGTAATAAATTAAAATAAATGTTTAAAAACAATGCAATAAGTGGATAGTCCCTCAGATAAAAAATTTACGTTTAGGAAAAATAATTCTTATTTTTATTAAATTGAATAAAAGGGATATGGAAATTTTGAGGCTATGAAGCTTTGTTCTTGACTGCCCTAAGGATCAACATGAAAATATGTACTTAGTGAATGGTCCCTCAAGTTAATTCAAAGATCATGGTACTAATCTATAAATAGAATAGCGCAAGAAGGCCATTAGCTTGCCATTGACAATGGCACTTCAATAACGATGAAATTAACAAGAGAAATAAAATTTTCTTTTGCTATTAAAATTTGGCAATGTTTAGTTGGCCCCCGAAAATTCAAGAGAAGTTTCGGTTCCATTTCAGAGAGTGGAAAATGAAGCCTGAAATTGAGAATATCTAGCTAAATAAAGCAGAGTTGCACACGAGAGTGCAAGAATCTTTCTCACTGAATTCAGAGCAACCCTCCACAAGGCAGTAACTTGGTTGCTACAAAATTGTGACTTGGCGATACCCAGGGGAAAATATCCTTTTTGGTGCAATTTAAGCCAACTACTTCAATTTGGAGCATGAGATACTTCAATTTCGAGAATAGTAGGCGCAGGTTACCACAATATATTAAGAAAAAACAATTACTGTGCTCTTGCGTGAGCTATATTGGGCTAACTATATTTATTAGTTTTAATTGCTCGAAAAACAGCTGAACATACTTAAATAATGCTATAGTAAAAGAAATAGTATAGTATAGCTGAAATTATAATCCTTAAATATCCCATAGATTATACTTTGGGTGGCTAATATTTTTTAGAAGACAAAAATAAGAAACAAAATTCCCTACATTTTCCCAGTTTGTAAAGAAAAAGTCAAAACCCCATGCATTCTCCCTGTTATTTTAGGCGATTTTTAAATACCCTGTGTTTTCCAGGTTTTCCCTGTGTAGCGGCAACCCTGTTTGATAAAAAAACCTGTGTCAGCTAAGCCATGGAATTATTTGCACCATGTGCTATTCCAGGCAGGGTCTTAACCCTTTTGCGACGAGTTTTTTTTATTTTTACAACAGAACAATTTTGGTAGCATAAAGTATGAGTAGGGCAGCATTATGTATGGTAGTGTCATCTATGCTCTGTGAAGGAAAATATTTTCAAAAATATTGACAGGACTGGTGGGAAAGTCACCCATTAGACAGAGAAGCATTTCTATCCCAATTTTTTTTTTGAAATTTGCTTGTGACGTATGTGTCCGCTAGGCGCGAAAGGGTTAACTCTATGTACATAAAATACACATAATTGAGGGGAAAAAGGCAATGTATCTAATTAAAATCTTGCATGTATTTTGGGTACATGACTAGACAATAAAGTTATCTAAGTTTTACCTCTCCTGTAAAGTAATCTATAATTGTTACTGCTGATTTATGCACTTCTGTATTCACGTGTTGCTGTAGATTTTCAATCTTATCTAAGCTTCCACATTGTTTTATACAGAAGCAGACATTTTTTGTTTCACCAAATTTGGTAGCAGCCTGTCGATAAAGAAAAATGTTTAGAAATGTTTTTAATTTTCAAAGTATTAGTTTAAAATAGTTACAAAAAGGAGCATTTAAATTTCATACACCCAAAAAATTTTAATATATTGTAAAAATTGGCAAGTATAGGTAATAAAATTTTTACAAGGCGGACAACTAGAAAGAATTCTTGTTATGCATATTTATTTATAATTACATTTTTATGAAAATTCTTTATTTATCAAAAAAGCCTTTCACAAGTTCAAAACAGTATATAGAATAACCTGATCAAAAAATAAAATAAAAATATGTGGTTGATGTTCAATATTTAAATCTATAGTTAATTTTCTGACATTAAGATTGAATTGAATGCTTTTAAAAAATTAAAAAATATTTATAAATTAGAATATGGTATTATTTATTATCAAAACATTAAAACTAGTCTGATAATACGCCTCACAATAATTTAGAAAGTCAGAAATATAATTCCAGCAAGAAAATTAAAAAAATGATAAGAAATGTGTGTTAGCAAGACAGTACTTCAACAGGGGACACACCGCCTGCCAACACACAGGAGCCTTTCTGTTGTCAGTGGTAACACCAAAAACTGACAGTGCCCTGAGGCTCCATAATGGATAAACAAACAAGAAAAAGCCACTAGAAAAACTGCAAAAAAGACAGAAATCTGCTAAAAAATCTCATCCCTGTTTGAATTGTGTTAAGTTTGGATTTTAACATTTATTTTATGTAAAATAACCAATCACAATGCATAAAACTTTTCATTTTAAGCATTGCATTTGGGAATTTTAAATTAAAAACACAGATTTTAAAACAGGTTTAAAACACTTTTGTTTTGTAGGTACTGAAAATGAAAATAAGTAATGAATCGAAATAAAGTAAATATTTCATACATTTAGAATATTAGCTATGGCTTCCAAAGCTTCAGTTAGAATTTCAGCATCCTGGTAAGCAAGAAGATTACAAACAGGTGGGATTACACCACCTCCAACCAAAAACATAATCTGTTCTATTGTACCACCTGATGTGATACTTCTAACAGCCCTGATGGCTTCCTTTTGGCTGTCATAATCACCCTGAAAGTAAGAAGGAAAAAAAAAACCTTTAAAAGATTCTTGGAATGTAAATAAATCAACATTCAACAATATAATGGTAAGAATTTAAAGTTCTAATAAGATTTGTAAAATGCATTAATGCACATCAGCATGGTGTATAGAGGCGAAAGGGGTATGTCTCTGCAACTTGACAATAAAGGCAACCTAAGGGCGTCTGAGACAGAGGTGTCAAATGTGTAGACGGGCCAGATTCAAATAAAAAAAATGTACTGAACTATTATAAAATTTTATTTTTCTAATTATATGGTATATAATATACGGTTGTTAAAAATCATATCAAAGTTATAAAAGATGGTAATTATTTAGAGATCGAGAATCCAGATACCTGACTTCTCTTGTTTTCAGAATGCGTGCTGCATGCTTTTTTAATTCCGGGTAGTTATCCAAACTCTTGAAATATTGTGTATAAAATGTAACAACGTTAACCTCTTTAAATTTTTCTTTCAAAATACTGTCCGATTGAAGATTTATCAACTCCATTTGCAAATGAGCTGGTGCCTGTGAAGCTTCAAAATTGAATGGATTGTTGAGAATTGGGAATTCCGTTCCATTCATCTTGTGGAAGTCTTCAAAACGATTGTTGAATTCTGTGATCAGATTTTGCAGAAGTTGAGAATACTGATCCAATTTTTTTTGGTTCACTGTGCCAAATGATTTTAAATGAGGGACTTTGTTTCAAAGGCTTAAATACATTTGAGTGACAACCAGATTTTTACCCTGTAATTTTACATTCAGATCAGTCAAGTGTTAATTCATATCTACCAAAAAGACACAATCAATCCACCAGTCATTGTCATAATCAATTGGGTTGCCTTTTTCTTACACAAAAGCTTGAATAGGGTTACGTAATGCAAAAAATCTTTCTAAAACTACTCCTCGACTGAGCCAACGAACTTCAGGGAAATAAGGGACATCAAAAAAATTTTCGTCCAAATCTTGTAAAAACTGCCTGAACTGTCTGTGATTTAGTCCTCTGCTCCTTATAAAATTTACTATTTTAATTATAGGTAGCATGACATGATCCATTTTTAAATGCTTGGATGCCAATGATTCCTGATGAATTATACAGGGAAATCCCACAAAATTCCCTGATGTTTTCTGTTTTAATTTAGTTACAACGCCCGTATGATTGCCAGCCATGGCAGGAGCGCCATTCGTAGTTGTGCTGCTAAGTATATTCCAGTCGAAAATTTCGCCCGTTGCTAAGAAATGTCGTTACTGTCTATCTCTCTCGCTTGTCTAGGCACGCGCTGCCCTTGAAATTACTTATAAATGTAGTGTGCACATTTTAAAACTTCCGTAGAGGAATCGAGTGAAGTCTAAAAAACACGATTCTTTTTTCTGTGACATATCGCGGGCCATATTGATACGAACCGGGGGCCGGATGCGGCCCGCGGGCCGTATCTTTGACATGACTGGTCTAAGATTTTCAAACCAATTAATCAAATCAAGTTTTTTGTAATTAAATATTTATTTTCTTCACATCTAAGATAGCTTGCTTAAAAATATCAAAATTATACAAAAGTAACTACAGTAGGGAACCGATTATCCGGAACGATCGGGACCATCGCTATTCCTAATAACTGATTTTTCCGGTTTTCTGAATCGCTACAAAAAGCCGTTTTTTTTAAATTGTTAAACCCAACTAATAAAAAAGTATTTGGAAATAATCTTAAAAAGAAGAAAAAACGATGAAGTAATTCAATAATGATTATTTCCAAAATGATGATAAGGTAAACATCTTTCAAAAAAGAAAGAAAAACCCTAAAATCTTATGAGGAAAAAAAAAATTTAAAAAATGGTGGGAAAATTTTTCGAATTTCGTTCCGATTTTTTGGTTTTCCGGTTTTCTGATTTCCGGATAACGGGTTCTGTACTGTACCATAAAAAAAAAAGACTTAAATATGGATTTAAACTATTATGAATATTTTGTAACGTAATGCTTATTTTGTAAATATTTAAAATTTATGAATAAAAAGAATAAATTTATAGCGAAAGGTGAAAAAAAAAANAAAAAAAAAAAAAAAAAAAAAAAAAAAAAAAAAAAAAAACTCAATACATAGTGAAATTAGAAATGTATCACTTTTAAAAAAAGAAAGCTGTAAAATAATCGCCTGGCATTAGCAATAAATAATTGTATGTTTAGATTAATAAACAATCTTTTATTTATAAAAGCAGAAGATTTTTTTAACGAAAGCAGATGTGATTCCACATCAAGCAAAACTCTCAAATGATACTGCACTTCTAAAAAAACAGAATTTATTCAATTATAAAATATTGTTTCATTAATCGGTGTCAAATAGATTAATATAACAGACGATTAAAAAACATTTTGTTCGGAATAATTAATCGTAATAATAATGTATTATCTGAAATTATAAAACAATTCGAAAAAATAAATCAAGTATAACAAAAATAGAGAGTGGTTTTAAAAAAATCTAACAAGTCAATACTCTTGAGGCTGAAATTGCAAGGCAAGGGCAAATGCAAGGGCAAATGACGATATAAAAAAAAAAAAAAAAAAAAAAAAAAAAAAAAAAAAAAAAAAAAAAAGGAGTGTAATCCAGCAATTTGTTTGGTGAGGAATTTTCTGACAATGACTATTGCCAGTTTTGGGGTAAAATTGCGCTTTCTCCCCGACAATTCACCGGCTTTTTTTTTCTCTTAAGAATCTCATTTTTCTTAATAATTTCCAGGGCTTACGAACCCGTCATTTTACTCTTTCAGACTATATTATTCTGAATTTTTATTTCATATTCCTAATTTAACAGGAGCTGAGTTTGGAAAAAAAAAAATCATACTTATTATTATGCATGAAGGGTATTTTTGTTAAATCAATAAATATGCTTTTTAATTAAGCTTCAGAAAGACATACCTTATGAAGAACATCAATGACAAGACCCACAAGTCCATTATCCATAATACATTGGATTTCATCAGGCGTATCTGCAAATAGAAAAACCAACCAACAAGCTCCCTAAAAATAAAAGCAATTATAAAAAGGTGCGACTATTAAATTACTGACTAATGAAAAATATCACATCTTTACAGTAACTAATTCAAGTGAAAACTTACTTCTACTTGTTTCAAGAATCGTGATATTGGATTTTAAAATCTCGTGAATATGAATCGTGATACTGGATTTTAAAATCGAGTGAATATGAATCGCAATACTGGATTTAAAAACCGCCTGAATATGAAACGTGATATTTCATTCCAAAATCTCGTGAATATGAATAACGATTTCGGATTTTAAAATCGCATGAATATGAATCGCAATTCTGGATTTTAAAACCGTGTAAATATGAATTTCGCAGTTAGATTAAAAAATCATGTGAATATGAATCGTGCGGTTAAATTTAAAAATCGTGTGAATACGAATCGCAAAGTTTGATTTTAAAATCGCGTGAATATTAATCGCAATACTGGATTTTCAAATCGTGTGAATATGAATTGCGAGGTTGGATTTTAAACAGGGTGGCCTCTCAAATCAGATTTCAAATTTCCCTGATTTTTCCAGGTTTTCCAGACAAAAGTCTTAAAATTTCCAGGTTTTTGTTTCTTTTTTCTTATAACGTGTAGGATGTGTACAAAAAAAAGTGTCTATATTATAAAATATTTTATTTTGACAATTTGGCAAGATTTTTTTAAAAAATTTTTGGAGAATTTTATAAAGTTTAAAATACAGACAATCCAGTTAAAATACAGTAAATAGAAAAAAAAAATTCCAGCAAAGCATCGGAACAAACTTGAGTCATAAATGGATTCAGCCCAAGGCCAATTTAAAAACAGAAGCTAATATCCTAATCCCTTTTTCCACCTCCACCAGAATCTTTCCTAAATTGCACACACAGTCTCATAGCAGTCAAAGGTTTCTACATTCGTTTAGCAACTGTGGGAAAATTTTATGTGGCATTCTAGTTTAACAGAGCTGTAATGGAGCAAATTTTGATGCAAGCAAAGTATCGCTAAGTTGATGATATTTCAACCGCTTGGCGATACATTTCCGTTTAAAAAAAGTGGGTACAATTGATGAAATAATTTAAAGTTAGAAAATTAGTAAATAATTTAAATTAGTAAAGTTAAAAAAATTATCAAAGAAAAAATTTCCAGCTTTTCTTTAAAATTCCCCGATTTTTCCAGGTTTTTATTCAAATTTCCCTGATATTTCCAGTACAAAAAAATTCCCTGATGATTCCAGGTTTTCAAGGTGGGTGGCCGGCCACTAGGGCTGGACGATATAGAAATTTCTTAAATCGATATAATCAACCCTTTTATATCACGATATTAGGTTATATCGATTTAACAATCTAAACGACAAAACTAAGAAATAAATCCACAGTACCCCTTCCTTTATTCAAATGTACTGTTGTTTTTTTCTTAGCTCACTTACAGTCAACTCCTAGTCCACA